CGACCGCACCTCTATCCCTCAGCGGGTGGGTTCAAACTGCTGCCCTTGGGTAGCAGCTGAGCATTTTCAGACCATGCCACCACGGCTCCCCGGCAACGATAAAAAACACCAACCAACCAACCAAACCAAACAAGAAAACCCCACTGCCATTGAGTTGCTGCTGAGTCACAGGGACCCTGTATTGTTTCCAAGGTTGTATCATCTTTACAGGAACAGATAGCTTCCTCTTTCTCCCTCAGAGTGGCTAGTGGGTTTGAACTGCCGACCTTGTGGTTAGCAGGCCAATGCTTATTCAACAGCGCCCCCCACCGTTCCTTCTGGTAAGATTACATCCTAGGGAATTGGATGGCATCGTTCTACTCTGATGCACTCCTTTAGGGTCTATGATTCAGCATTTGCTTGTCAGAACACAACCACAGCAGTAATAGCCTCAAAGGGCCCATGGAAAGAGGAACCAACATCTTTCAGTAAGTAGATGCGCCCTTTGCAGTGGAAGGTGCCTGAAAGAGGTGGAGAAGGTCACAGCAGGGGCTTCAGGACAAGCTATTGATCTCCTCTTAGGAGAAACCTCACACGCCACTTTGTTTGGGTGGCCTTGAACTGCGGGCCATGTTTGCTTTGGCTTGGTGTAGGAGGAATTCTGGAATTTGCTTTGGGACTTGGTGTGCCTTGCTTATTCTGCTCAGGTGGGTGGGAGGTGGGTCCCAGGCTTCCAGGGACCTCCTCCTCAGAGCCCAGCAGCAGCCTCTCTGGCCTGCAGGCCCTGAGCACTGGGGGCTGGTCAGGGACAACCGTCGTGGGGATTTTCGTTATCTGTGAGTGTTGTCTCATAGTAGAACCGCTGCTGTGGGTTTCCGAGACTGTATCTTTATGGGAGTAGACTTCCTTCCACAGAGCAGCTGGTGGTTTCGAACCGCCGACCTTGTGGTCAGCAGTCCATCGAGCATTGACTCGATAGCGGTGAGTTTGTTTTTGTTTTGAGTGACTGTTGTAGTCCTCAGGTTTCACTGGGTGGTAGGGGTGAGAGGTGGTTTTTCCAGACTCTACTTCCAGAGTTAGGAACCCGCCCCACAGTGACACTGTGGGCCAAGAGCTGCCACGCAGGGTCCTCGGGGGCCAGGGAAAGGGGCAGGCTTTCTTTGTCCCTTCCTGCTGAGTTCAGAGCAGTGGACAGACCCATCTGTCTGCCCTGTTGGAGGCCCTGCCACAGAGCTGAGAGATCTGGGAGAGGGCCTGCCAGCCTCTCTCCGGGGAAAGCTGGGAACCTGTGCATCCCTGGGGCTCCCATCTTATTCTGCGCAGACTCCTTAAGGTGGTGGGGGAGCCCTGTTGGAGTCCTTTGTAGTGTCCGTTGCTCTTGGGGGAAGCAGAGACTCTCCAAGGGCATCCAGAGCAGGAAGAGGAGAGCCATTCTCTCCCTCTGGCATGTTCTCCACAGCCCCGTAGGCCCAACTCGCTTCACTCTCGAGAGCACTTCTCCTCTGGGTCACCCACAGTTTTTCAAGCCCCCCAGTGCCATCCTCAAGGGAGGAGCTGCCACGCCTGATTGCCTTGACACATTCACTGGTAGCCCAGCCCCTTGGATCATATCCTGTCTGCTTGTGATGGCCGGCTGACCTGGACTCTCTCCTTCTGAGAGGCACTGTCATGTTGAAGGAGAGCCTTGGGCTGGTTCCAGACACACCACTAAGCTCAGGGAACTCTTTGACAAGGCTCAGCCTGGACTTAGACCCCCTCAGGAGTAACATGGAAATAGATGTCTCGTGTCCCTGCTTCTCGCCTAGTGGGAAATCGGACAGTGCGGTGCTTTCTGAGAGGCCACAAACTGGTAGACGTTGGGTCCCCCAGGGTCCCCCAGCATGTCTCATCTGATTTACATCAAACCAAGAAAGCCAAACCACGGCCATCGAGTTGACTCTGACTCCGGGCGACCTCTGTTTTGAGGAGCAGAGCTGTGTGGCCCCACCTGCACGAAAGCAGAGCATCGTTCTGGGTTGGTGGTTGAGTGAGTGGTTGAGACAAACCATCGGCACCATCCGGGAAGCCCTTGGCTTACGCAGTGTTTATAGAAAATTGGAACGAGGCGTCAGTATTCAAAAAGGTGGAAATTTCACAAATATGGAGATTTGACCTTCTCTTAAAGAACAGGAAACCCTGGTAGCACCTCAGGGCACAGGTTACTGAGACGGTAGAGAGTGTCCTCTGTTCCCCCGGGCTGTGCTGTGTAGGTGGGAGTCAGCTTCCAGCCGGCTCACTTGCTTAACCCTGAAAATATGTAAATAAATGCATAGGCTCGGGAGCCTCCCAGACCCTGAACAAATTTATTAACGTCTCTAAGGCACAGGCAGGGTGAGCCCTGGTGGCACAGAGGCAAAGCGCTCTGCTGCTAATGGAAAGATCAGCGGTTCAAACCCACCAGCTGTTCCCTGGGAGAAAAAGGCGCTGCTCTAGATCCATAAACCTTCGTCCTGGGGACTCGATGGGCAGTTCTCCTCGACACTCCTGGCTCACTGGGAGTTGGGGTGACTTGACCCCGCCGGGCTTGGTTTTGTTTTGGTGTAGGCGCTGTCTCCCCACCTCTAAGATAAAGCTAGTTAGAGGAGGTTTATGAGGATGGAATGTAGCCTGTTCTGCATAGTGTCTGGCCACAATCCCTGTCGAAAGTTGTCCCGGATGAACTGGGACAAGTGGGAATTCCAAGTCTGGCAGCCCAGATTGGGAGAGGATGAGATCTGAGTTCTGCCTCTGGGGTCTGTGCACATGGCTGAAGGTGCATGAAGATCAGTGGGCGGAGAGGGAGGGCCTGGTCGGAGGTGGCTGTGCCCAGCAGAACATTGTCTCCTGTGGGGCCTTGGGAAGGAGGCAGATGAGTAGCGCCTGCAGACTGGGACTCCTTGTTACTGTGGGTTTAGCCCCAGGGGGCACCTGTGGTGAGGCCTCTATCGCCACGCCCTTCCCGTCATTGTCAGTTGGTGTCCAGTTGGTTCAACCACATGAACATCAGGGGGAAACGTCCCGTGTGAAAGGGTAGTCGGCATATCTCACGATGTAGGGGCTTCCACAAGGGATGGACAAGGCCAGAGGAAAGAGGCAGGGTTGAGAAAGGGGGAACTGATCACACTGATTGACATATAACCCCCTCCCAGGGGGACGGACAACAGAAAAGTGGGTGAAGGGGTCGGTAGCCCCCCACCAGGGGCAGAGTACTGAGTGGCACAAGCTGACGGACTCGCAGGTGGAATTTCATTGATAGTGCCGTCGTTGAATACCAGACCAGAGGAAACTGGCTAGAGACGCCAGGCTTCGGTGGAAGCTTCTGGGGTTGAGTTTTATTCAGTCCAGCACAGGCAGCTGCTGGAACTGGAGACGTGCGGGGGAGTAGCTCCCACTCCCACAGGGTCCCACTTGCTTGGGAAGGGTGGACTTCAGCCAGGCGCTGACTCCTGGCTCCTCATGAACGTCTTCTCCTAATGCATTGAGTGAGCTGTGCTGGTGGTCTTCCCTGCCCGTGGGACCGCGGAGGGGGCCCAGCCCCACCTGGCGGGTCCTGGCCTCAGCTGGGAGGATGAGGGAGGATCAGATGCAGACATTCCCCATGCCTGGAGAAGGTAGAGGGTCTTCAGGGAGCCTGGCTGTGCGCTGGGTGGCACCTGTGCAGCCGGATCTACCCGATGGCTCTGTTTGTTTATTTATTTGTTTCTTCTTCAGTGGATTGAATCTAAATCTCTCCTGCTGCAAAGCAAGCCCTGTGCCTTTTTATCTGGCTGTGTGAACACAGCTTGTGGTAGCTGCTCATTTGATTCAAAGCCACTTGATCGCCCTGAAGACTGTTGGGAGTATTCTGCACCCCTTTCCAGAGCTGGCCTGAAAGCAGACAACTGGTCTGCTATTGTGGGCCGAGAGAGGGCTTTGGACGAGTTCCCGGGTGGAGAAGCCGGAGGATCTGTTTCCCAAAGCTCCTAACATTGGAATGCCATGGAGCAGTTTTCATCTGTGTGCCCGGGGTCAATTCCAACACACACACACACACACACACACACA